GAACTGTAAAAACTACCATGGTATTAGACTTCTTAGCATTGTGGGAAAACAGTATGCTGAGGTACTAATTGAAATAGTTATGAAAGGAACTGATGGAAAAATTTGGTATAAGGTCTTTTCCATGCGCATGGTCACGGAGAAGTTTTTTTTATAGAATAAGGATGACAAACGAGCACACAGTCCACCTGATGGTAAGTGGTTGCTGAGACCCATAGACATTTACATTTATCTTCGATAAAGAATCAAAATGCATATGCGTTGTCACCCGTGAGGAATAAGATGGAACGCCTCGTTTCCAGTAAAAAGGGTCTCCGTTTCTCTACACTCACCATATGAAACACAGCAGTGTTAAGCTGTTATTTAACGCTGGAATTCTGTGAGATCGTGGTCCTTCCTCGGTCGAGCCGACCCATTCGTGCTACAACTATACTACCAATATAGCTGCAGCATGGCTCTACCACGTATAAAAGTTTTTGGCCAAAAACCAAAAAGTTTTTTGTGCGTTCGTGGACTTCAAATAGGCTTATGACAGAGTAGACAGGGATGTATTATGGCAAACACTGCGCACAGCGCTCCACCCAAATGAGTTCATTTGGGTGGAGCGCTGGGCTGATACAGGCATTGAAGTCTCCATATAGGGACTCTAGTGCTTGTGTCAGGATCAACGGAGCCTACTCGGATTGGTTTGGCATCCATAAAGGTGTCAGATAGGGCTATGTGGCTTCCCCGTGGCTGTTCAAACTATTTATGGACAGTTGTTTGGAAAATTTTAGCAACAGTAGCCTAATGGCAGGGCGCGGACTGTGAACTCGAAAGGTCGAGGGTTCGAATACGCCATTCGACTACTGTCGTGAACCACTTCTAACACAAGGATTTTAAGCTTACCAGAAGTGGTTTAAGGGAATATTAGTAATGCTTAATAGGATTACTAGTATTTAAAAAAAATTGAAGGTGGAAGAATGCGGTTTAAGAACACTCCCAGTTAACCGTCAAATACCTTTTGTATGCCGATGATCAAGTCATACTTGCGTCGTCGGCGGCCGAGTTGCAAATTATGGTTACATGAATGAACAGGTCATTAAAAGAAAAGGGAATGAAAGTTAACGCAAGTAAGACGAAAGTTATGGTTTTTGAAAGAGAAGAAAGTAAAACGATCTATATCTATAAACGGTCGATAATCGAAAGTTTATCGACCAAGTGTCCTCCTCCTCTCTTCGGACCTCAGATAATTCTATAATATCCCAGCGCAACTTGTCTATCTCTTCTTCCAGCTCCAGGATCTTATCGTCAGTCCTCAGGGTGCGTGCGTTGTATGTTGCTAGGTTGAGTCGTCTTAGGTGACAACCGAACCTCCACCGCTAATTCTTAGCCCCCCCCCCCTGCTCCGCCGTTACCATAGTCACCACCGTAGCCAGGAATAGCGGGCCGCCGGGGACTGGGGCTTTCTCTTCGTAACTTTAATCATGATGGTATATAGCCATAGTTGCCACGTTTGGCGAGCGGGTTGGCAACCACAGTTTTGTATTGTGGTTTTGCTGTTTTCAAAAAGATACTGCTGCCCATCTTCTGCCTCAGTTTCTCTCTGTCGCCTCTTACGACACCCACGGGAAGATATGGGGTAGTGGGTATTCTTACCCGCCACTACACGGGATTCATAAATTAATGTTAATAATAATTCTCAAATATTTTTATTATCGGTAGATAATTCCTAAATTAATGTAGAGTTTTTCGATTAAGGAAGATTCTAAATTAACATTTCAATACGAGAAAGCGCGTCTCAGGAATCTTATCTATCAAACTAGGTATATCCAACTGCAGTAAATACAGAAGTCGGATATTTGTAATTCAAAGTTTTATTTTTAGTCTAGTATTTTAGAGCCACTTTAATGTTATAATGTTTATGTCATATCAGCATAAACGCTAATCGCGTAGGAAAACAAAATACAACTAAAATATAACAAACTACCTAACAAGACGCAACGAGAAAGAGCCGTCCGAATTTATTAATCATGAAAACAAATACTTGTATCTAATAATATTTCATTTATAGGTTAACATAGTAGTGCTCCAGCAGGTCTTCCAACAGGCCTGATACTCGTATTTAAACACTTATCTGCTGTTGTTTAAATATCAGGCCTGCCGGAAGAATATAATAAGCAATATAGAAAAAAATTCTTTGAAAATTTTAAAATTTCTTTGTTACAAACCTACCTACTCGTATAAGCAAATTGTTAAATAAACAAAAATAGCCCTTTTCTGTCGACTTCCAAAAAGGAGACGGTACTCAATTCGACTGCATGTTTTTTTATGTGTGTTACTTCATAACTTTGAACTGGGTGAACCGATTTCGATGATTCTTTTTTTATATGAAAGCTGATAGTTCTCGTGTGGTCCCATATGAATTTGATCAAGGTCAGACCAATAGTTTTTGAATTATTCTTAAATAACTTAGATTGAAGTCAGCTGTGTAAAAATTTTTAATTTTAAATTATGAGAATACGCTAAATGAAATTTGTATTTATAGAAGCGCATATTATTGTAAAATGCTGGCGTTATCGTGTTATATAGATTTAATACATCTCAGACATCAGAATATCGACGTGCTCATTTTTAAATGAATGATTGATGAGTGTGTGATAAAGTGTTCTTTACAATATACTTATTTACTTTAAATTCAATATTGATCAAAAATGTTATATCTTTTATTGAGGGATTTAGTAGTTATCTTGTTTGTATCTTGTATTGCATTTTGCCATTTTAAGGTCCTCTCGTCGCATGGTGTGTAGGTATAAGAACGTTATCTCGCTTCCCGCATTTGAAGAGTGAATCAGTACTAAAGCTGGGAGAATTTAAAAAAAAACCAACGTAAACTCCGAAAGTGCCTCCGCGGACACTGGCCGGCCGCGAGTGTTTAAACTGTTCGATTTAATTTTACATAGGATAAAAACAAAACCTTGTTAAGAATTAATTAACCTAAGAATTTATAAAACACACCTAAACATGTGACCACACATGACCTAAAAATAAAAACCTTTTTTTTGATATAACTATTATACTGTAGAAGAGACTCAGGGACAGCGGTAAACTATTACGGATTGACGATCAGTTATATTTTATAGTTTACGTGGATGAAATGTTAATAAAATTGTAAATGAATTTTATTATTGTTCTAAACATTAACAATTTTTACTTGAAAATCTAAAAGATAAAAACTAAACGGTAGTATAGACGAAAACTATTTTGCTTGATTCATATTATATTTTGCTTAACATTCGACACGGCGAGTTTTGCGTCCCCTGACGCGGTTTATAAATTATATTATTTACTGGAGGGTGTCGCCGTCGCTGATCACTCGCACATGTCGCAGTTTAGTGTTAATTGATCATCAAATAGAGCAACCTGCTATGGGAAGGGAACTTTCATGACTTTAAATAAGGGACCAGTCGAAATTGTTGTACATTTAAATGACAGTAATTAGGTTGCATAAAGTATAATAATTGATAAAAAATCAGGGCCAAATTTTAAAATTAAAACGAAAATTTTACCGACATAGTACGAAACGAAAAAGTACATTCTAATTTTATTTATGTACTAGCTATCCGGCCCGGATTCGCACGGTTGATTTCTGGATCTGGACAACAACGCCATCTACCGAGTCCAATTGTGAATCTAAATCATCCAGGGACCCATTCAAATACACACGATAATTTTCATCAAAATCAGTCGAGCCATTTTCGAGTTTTAGCGAAGTTAACGGACAGCAATTGATTTTCGTCATCGTGTTGTGGTTATCTGCCGACTTCAAAAAGGAGACGGTACTCAATTCGACTGTATGTTTTCTTTTTTTATGTTTGTTACCTCATCACTTTTTACTGGGTGAACCGATTTCGATGATTCTTTTTTTATTTGAAAGCTGGTACTTTACATGTGGTCCCATATAAATTTGATCAAGGTCAGACTAATAGTTTTTGAATTATTCTTAATAATTTATATTGAAGTCGATTGTACAAAATTTTAAATTATACTATATACTCTTTTTAATAGAGCTTCGGCGTAGCTTTGGATATGAAAGCTCGCAGTTAATTTCAATATTATTAAACAATTCATTTTGTTTTCTCTTTAAATATTTCTTAGGTCTGCATTTTTCTGACAACTCTACATAGTAAATGTACAGTCAGTAAATCAGGGAGCGGATTAAGGCTCACTATTTACAAATGCACCCTTCACGCATTGCTTTGTTTGCTGTCCACACATGTCACCTGTTTCTCTCAGACACCCCATCGGCACCATTGATCTATTTTAATATTAGATTGTAATAAATTTAATAAAAACTGTGGATTTTTCAATTACTGTTGAGTATGAACTATTAAGTACATGTTTATTATCATTAGTTAGAAATGTTTTATTATGATATTGGAGTAACAAACGAGCTTACCTATTATACACCCGGTAGCTTTGAAAACTGTAGTTTTTTTTTTTAATAGATTAAGGGTGACAAACGCGCCCACAGTCCACCTGATGGTAAGTGGTTGCTGTGGCCCATAAACATATACATTTATCCTCAACACCGTTTTTTACAGCATATTTTTTGTAGGTGAACCGATTTTGATGATTCTTTTTTTATATGAAAGCTGGTACTTCTCACGTGGTCCCCTATAATTTGATCAAGGTCTGAACAGTAGTTTTTGAGCTATCCATAACTATTTATATTGAAGTCAGTTGTACAAATTATTTTTTGTAACTGTCCAAAGAGCTTCGATTGATATATTGACCTTAAAAATTATCCTTTTGTAACTTGGTAGATTTGGTCAAAGTTATTCCCCAAGTCTGTACTGGAAGAAATCTTTACACCATATAAGTAAGTAATTAACGTATAATAGTCCCCTAGAAGACGTTTCCTAGGGGAATATTATTACACGTGATAGACAGATACAGACAGAACGACACCGACCGCTTTTTGAAAGAATAGAACACTAAAAACTATTATGTACATTGCTTACCTCCAAGCTCAGGTATTCGGTGGTAGAACATGCCAGTCCGCGCCAGCCATTCCAGTTGCATGTGATGCAGCACTCGATCGCCCGGGTGGTGGAAGGCGGACGGCAGCGGAGCGCCCGGAGGCATCGCCCCGGGCTGCGACAGTTGAGGGTAGTTGAACAACGAGGACTGAGCCGCCACTAAAGCCGGGTTCTGAGGCAGGAGTCCCGGCTTCGGTATTATACCTGGCGATAAACATTTTATAATGTTCATATCGAATGAAGACCATTTTATTTTAATATTTGTTAAATTTTATTAATTTCAATATAATTTCGTTAAAAGTATTGCAAAAAAATACTTTTATTCGTCACGCGAATAGGCTTAGGTGACGATAACGTGGCACAGTGGCTTAGCAATGAAATACGGCGTTGAGGGCCGCGAGTTCGAATCTCGCACGGAACAAGTATTTGTTTGGGCTATAAATAATTGTTCCGGGTCTAGATGTTTGTCCTTGTGTATGTATATAAACTACAAGATAACATTACAAAAAACTTATTTCCAACTTGGAGAAGGCTAACGTCCAGCAACGAATAGTCGTTATTGCGTGGTTATTGCGTCAGTAGCTTAGAAAACAGTGTCAAAAACCTACAGTTATATTTTTTTTATAGTTTAGAGTAACAAACGATCACACAGCCCACCTGATGGTAAGTGGATGCTGTGGCTAATAGAAATCTACATTTATCCTCAATTAAGAATATAAATGCAGATGCGTTTTCACCCATGAGGACTAAAATGGAATGCCTCGTTTCCAGTAAAAAAGCATTAAGCTGCTATTTTACGCTGGTATTATGTAAGAGCGTAGTCCTACCCCAGTCGAACCGACCCATTCGTGCTACAACCATTATATAGCTGCAGCGTGGCTCTACCACAGACTACTAAGAGGATACTGCGCACTATATTATCTATATAGCTTACCAGGTCTATAGCTTTCGTACTCTTCTGCTCCAACCTCGACTCCCGGCGAAATCGGTGGACTGTAACCCTCCGACCTGTTCCCATCATCGGAACCCGGCGTCCCACTCCTGGGACTGCTCTGTCCCGAACGTGGACTCTCACTTTCAACCCTATCGAATCCTTCCGAACTGCGATTCTGACACCTATTTATCGTGTTGTGTTCTATTTGCGCTTCGTAATTTTCATTCTGATATCTTGCTATGTAGTTTTTGTTTTGTATAAGTGACAGATATTTTTGCTGCGCCATCTTTTCTTGAATCGAACTTTCTGGTTCCATGTGACGTGAGAGCAGGGCATCTATGCAAAAAGACTTTTTCCCTTGATTTATTATAGTTTTATTTTCGTAATATTTCATGTTCTTTGGACTGTTCGATCGACTGGGATCGGGATTGGAGTCCTGGTCAATTTCGAGGGGCTTCTCCTGCATTTCCTCTGAGTCTCGTCGGTACATAGCTTGCGGTAAAATTTGCGAGGACATGACTTCTAAGGATGACTTCGTTATCAGCAATTTACATCACAACCCTGCAATAGACATATTATTGTTAATTACACATAACAATGAGCCGCGATAGCTCATGGGCTCGGTATGAAGTGTAAGAGGGCCAGAATAATTGCAATATATTTCACCTCAGTCCTTAAGGATATCTAATAATGCACATATAGCGCTTTTTTGTTTAAAGTTGATTGCAAGAAAAGTAGTCTGCAAGACTCGCGGATGTGTATGATTACGTTCACGTGGCCCTGCGTACAGACCCTTGCATAAGGGTATGGTATGAAGGTGGAACACTGTGCAAATTTAGTCGGTGCGAGTCCAATTAAAGCCGTCCTTGTCAATGCGATGCGGGTATAGCGTAGGCACAGTCTTTCTTAGACTGTGGCGGAGGCACATTTTTCTCATTTTTACTTATTTATTGTTCTAATATTATGGTAAAGTTACAAACTTGTATCCTATTATCAAACTGCCTCCTGATTTACCTTATTACTGATTCAATTCGATCTTTAGATGTTACGTCGGGAATGAGTAGGTTATAAGTTATAACGGTTGCGTGTAAGTGTTTCTTTTCATTTTAATATTTATTATATTTGGTGCACTTTTAGTTCTTATGCCTAAGAAATAAAAAAAAAATTGTTGTCCATAGCAGTTGTGGAGACATATGCAATCCACGAATTTCAGAATTATTATTTATTTTAATTTTATACCTATTTTAAATATATTAAAACTAGCACAAATTTCTTCAGAATCGGTCAAGCCAGTTTCGAGTTTTAGCGAGACTAACGGACAGTTATTTATTTTTATATAATATAGAGATGTCGATTTGATCGTCCATCATTTAATTGTAAGCTGCATATATAAAATCAGGGAAACTGTTGGAATAAAGAATATGAGAAACTATAAAAAACGTTCTTAAATGTTAGGCTGTCGCCTGCACACGTCGCACTGCTGGACACAGGCCTCCTTTCTTTTATGAGAGGGTTGAAGCAATTAGACCGGCGCGCGTTGGCATACTTTACGCCTTGGAAATATCACTAAGACATGCAAGTTTTATCACGTTTTCTTTCATCGTCGAGTACGTGGTAGTCAGCGCTTAAAATTGCAATTAACCATTTCGTTAGTGGCGGCGGGTAGCTCGCGTGCCGTGAAAAATACGGTGAGCGCTTAGCTCCTAAACTACCACGGCTGTTCTTTTATTTACGTCAATTTAAATGCAAGACATATTTTTTCTCAAAATTAGCAGTGGAAAACAGTTAGATTACCAGTTCCGTAGCGCAGTAGTTAAGCGTTTGGTCGCGGTGCTGCAAGGCCGCAGGCGGGAATGCCGCACTGAACCCTACACATAATTGTTTCGGGTCTGAATGTGTGACGTAGTGCAATTTATCCGGCGGCTCCGTGGTGCAGTGGTTTAGCAAGGAGTTGCAGCACGCAGGGTAGCGATATTAACAATTATTTGTATGGCCTACAAATAATTGTTGTGGGGTCTGGATGTTTGTCCTTATGAAATTTATGTGTGTAAACTTACAAGAGAAAACGTTAGTGAGACGTTACAAGAGAAAATGCTAGTGTGGAGGTAAGGTTAAAATAAGATTAAGATAAACAAAGATTATATTAATCTTAAATTATTTTTATTTTATTTTATTTAAGATTAAAAATGGTAAAAATTACCTTGCGTACATCCACGCAAGTATAAACTTTAATATAATGGATTCCCGCAAACTAACGCATGATTCTATTAATTAAACAAAGATTATGTATGTAAACTGCCGCCAAGAGAGGGAAAGAACCTGTGCTGTAACGCATTTTAAAAAACAATAGTCGAATAATTTAAGTAGCACAACTCCGTCTCTAATAAACCATTGTTATTCCAAATAAAATAAATTAAAATATTAATTCATTCATCACAGATTTATCACATCACATTAGATTTTTAAGTCCTATAATTTTTATATGCAATTCCGAACGAGTTGCTCATGTTTACCACACTGGGGGTTTTGTTGTTCACGATCATCTGTGGCATTCAATTATTTCTCCATCAGCCGGACGACAGAGCGTTGACCGTCAATCAGTAAGGTGCACTATGTGCAGATGAGTTAGGTACAACACATCATGAGCTCAGATTAAATAATAGTACTAATGTAACATGAGGCTCATTGATTTATGGATATTAACGTGAACAAGAAAAATAAACTGCAAAATAGATAATTTTTTCTAAATATTTTTTTAAATGATATTACAATTTGCTAGTTTTTAAATACAAATGACGATGGCCGGATATATTATTAATGAAAGTAATTTGAACTCAAACTCAAAATATTTTAGATATCTTTTTTATAAACAAACTGACGTTATCTACCTTTAATGAAATAGATAATGATAATAATAATAGAGTGGTTACCTGTTAATTAAGTTATATCGAAAATCCAACAAATGTGGTTTCATAATAAAGCCATCATAGGATTTTAATATTATGTTATCATTTGCATCGAGCGACACGCGACTCTTTGATATGCATTATTATAAGATTATTGGCTTTATTTACTAACTACTTTATTTATTTCTTCACGCTTAAATAAAGAATTTCAAATAAAAGATTATGAAAATTATAATTATTATCTATTTAATTTAAATTAATTAATATATTATCTACTCTACATTGTAGAGTCTACAAAGTCTTGATCTTAAGTATATACTAGTCTATTTGCCCTTGTCTGCAGATAATCGGCGATTTTTTTTTGGACTTGTAAATGGATCATACAGCTGGAATCAGTCTAAAGTACCCGTAAAAAGCTGATTATGATTCAACATATTAAATTATGTATAAGTTTTTTTTTTAAATTAGAATAAGGGTGAAAAACGAGCATACAGTCCACCTGATGGTAATTGGATGCTGTGACCCATAGACATCTACGTCTATCCTGGATTACGATTCTCAAATAATGATGAAATTGCTACCAGTGAGGACTAAGATGGAATGCCTTGTTTCCAGTAAAAAGGGTTTCCGGTTCTCTGCACTCACCATATAAAATACAGTAGCCTTGATCTGCTATTTTACTCTGGTATACTGTGAGAATGTGTACCTTCCACGGTCGAGCCGACCCATTCGTGCTACAGCTATACTACTAAAGTAGGTTCATCATGTTTCTACGACGTAAACGTGGATCGTATCAATATCATAGCGTCATATTATGCATACTAGTGATCATGCTGGGCGACCGGGCTTCGCTAGATGTTAGAAGATTTTTTTGGTGAAACTTTTTTGTATAACTGCATTAGATATATTTATAGCTAGCTACCGGCTTTGCCTGGATTGGCGTTAATATGGCTTTATTTGGATTTAAGATACGTAGATAAAACCTATTATCAGTTTTATGATTTAAAAAAAAAAAACCAAGATTTTCGGATAAAATGTAGCCTAGGTTTTATTAGTTATAGGATGACGTAGTCTGCAGTGTGTAAACATGTTCAAGATCGTCCCCGCCATTATATTAGATTTGATAGACCACAAATCCTCGCAAAAGAACACCGATTCCTACCAAGGATGATTCGCGAGGCTATTGAAAATAAAAATCATTCTAATTTCAGTCGAGAAAATGGATGGCTGCTATCATCTGCTTGGGATCCTATAATTAATAAAATTAAATCCAAACCCAAGCATACCTACATAGTAAATCGGACTAAAAGACTAAGGGCTAATTAATGACATCGGGGCGTCAAACTTCTCAGACCTCCCCCGTAACCATACGTGCTGTAAAGCATCCGAAACGTTGGAAATTAAAAAGTTAAAATTAAACGCGACAAATTCCGTAAAATTATTTTCATTTAAGTACTGTTCAGGAGATGGGCAGCAGCGTCTTCCTAATAACGACTAAAAATAAAAACAAAAACTGTGTTTGCCCACCCGCTTGTCATGCGTGGCAACTATGGCGAAAATCCCTCCTATGAAACAATCTATGAGGGTGGCCTATGTTCAGCAGTGGTCTTCTATAGGCTGTAACGGTAAGTAGTGTTTGCGAAAATATAAAAAATCACTCTGAAAGGTGAAGTGATACATTATATGGTATCGTCATCATCATATCAGCCTATCAAAGTCCACTGCTGAATATAGGCCTCCCTTATAAATTGCCTATCAGGCATGATATTTGCCATAGTTGCCACGCTTAGGCTGCGGGATGCCAACTGCAGTTTTGGAACGAAGTTCCTTATCGGACGGTACGAATTTGGCGGATGGCTAGGCGAGAAAAAGTGTAAGATTTTTCTGATGTTGTGTAGACGGCCTTGGCGGCTATAAGGAAGCGAGATGGAATAATATCCATCTCCCTCGCACTTTATCTTGTCTTGCAATGAAAAAGTATTATTTTATTTTAAATGACGCTTCATTTTAATAGACGCTAGTACCTAATTCATTTATTTGTATTTGTTAATCAATAATATAATAGGTATAATCAATAATAATGTATAAGAAACGTCAGTAGCCTAATGGCAGGGCGCGGACCGCGAACTCGAAAGGCTTCTAACACAAGCATTTTAAGTTTAATTGGTACCTAATGTTTAATAGCATTACTAGTATTTTAAAAAAAATACTACCAAAGGAACTTCGTTCCAACCGAGTGTTCCACGACACTCACGCATGTTCTTTTATTATTTTAGTAGTTATCAGGAACATGCTGCTGCTCACACCCACGGGAATCACGGGATGGTATGGGGTAGCGGATAACACCTCTGAACATCCTAACTGATTATGGTCCCTTAATGCGCAAACGTTACACTTATCTGGGAAACTATGTACTCCGACCAGAAGAAGTGTAATTGCTCACAGCTATGCAACTCCTTCTATTCATTGAAAACGTAGGGCTTAGCAGTGAACTATATCCATAGCAGCGTCACTTTAGCAGTAAGCTGAAGTGGCAATGGGCCGGCCATATAGCTCGAAAAACTGACAACCGATGGAAAAAAAGGTTCTCGAGTGGCAGCCTCGTACCGAT